TTAAATCTTGTAATCTAATTGGGCCAAAACTTGGACATTTAAAAAAAATAAATAAATCAATTTTAACTAAAAATTCAAACCAAATAATTTGGTTTTGGTTTCTGGTTGGACAGGCTTCCCAAGTGGTCATTTTTCATTCCCCAATAAAAGTATTGCTGCAAAACAATGTATTTGAAGAAAAAAATTAAAGCACAAAAGTAAAAATAGATGAATAAGGGTTAATTTCACAAAGGGTCATTGAACTTACAGAAAAATTACAAAACGCTCACTGAAGTTTAAAACTTTCAGTAACGGTCACTTAAGTATTGGGACGCTTTCAAAAACGGTCACTAAAGTTTAAAAAGTTTCTGAAACGGTCACTGAAGTTGAAAAACACTTTTTTAGTTTTTTTGGTTACATTTGCGGCAATTTTTCGGCTACTTCCAACCACCGATATTATTGAATTTTGATACCGTTGGAAAGCCCACAAAGTCCTCAATCTCTCCGTAACACCAAGGAATTCGACCGGAAAATCACCGCAAAAGCCACTCCAAAAAATCTGAAAATCTGCCCAAATTTTTAGATTTTAGGGCGACTTTTACGGCAATTTTCCAGCGACTTTCGAGCACCAAGACAGTTGGATTTTGATACCGTTGGAAAGCCCATAATGTCATCTTCAATTATCATCCAAAATCTCCCCCAAACTCCAAAGGATTCGACCGGAATAAACCCACAAAGTCGACATCCCAAAAAAGCGAAATCTGGGATGCCAAATTTTTGAGCTTATTATGGTCGATTCCTTTGAAGTTTTGGGGAGATTTTGGATGCTAATTAAAGAGAACATTGTCGTCTTTCCAACGGTATCAAGATTTGACTATTTTGGTGGTCCGAAGTTGTCAAAAAATCATTGCAAAAGTCCATCAAAAATCTGAAATTTGGTCAGATTTTTGCCTTTTCGGATAGCCAACTTTGTGGGTTTATTCCGGCCGAATCCTTTGGAGTTCAGAGAAGAATTTTTGTTGTAATTGAAGAGGACATTGTAGACTTTCTAACGGTATCAAAATCCGGTGGTATCGGTGTTCGGAAGTGGTCGAAAAATTGCTGCAAAAGTAGCTCAAAAATTTTTAAACTTCAGTGACCATTTTTGAAAGCGTCTCAATACTTAAATGACCGTTACTGAAAGTTTTAAATTTCAATGACCGTTTTGTAATTTTTCTGTAAGTTCAGTGACCGTTTGTGAAATTAACCCGATGAATAAAGAAGCAACTCCAATGGAACTAGACATAAAAAATAGAGGAAAAGGTACACCGTTTAATAATTAAATGACATTATTTGGTTACGAGCGAGTGACCATTTTTGAAAGCGTCTCAATACTTAAATGACCGTTACTGAAAGTTTTAAATTTCAATGACCGTTTTGTAATTTTTCTGTAAGTTCAGTGACCGTTTGTGAAATTAACCCGATGAATAAAGAAGCAACTCCAATGGAACTAGACATAAAAAATAGAGGAAAAGGTACACCGTTTAATAATTAAATGACATTATTTGGTTACGAGCGATTTGACTTTGTTAACAATGATAATTTTTATTTTTATTTTTACTTATTATTATTATTATTATTATTATTATTATTAATTTTGTGATAAATGATATTGACAGTCGGCAAGATATGATGTCATCCAAAAAAATATGAAAAATTAATAAATTTGTACAAAAGATTCTTAAACGTATAAATGAGTAAATGGTGCCAATTGAATCATGAGATTTTATTATTAAAAATACTCCATTATATTAGTAAAGTTAGACCATTTCAATATAGTAATATCCAAAATTCTCCATGTACATTCAAATTCAAAAGTTCGAAAAGAAATTAACGAGGCAACAATTCAAGGTTCCCGATTTTAATTCAAGTCTGTTTTATTCACAATCTTTCTCGACAATGAACATTTCAATTAGTTGTGTGATTCAATTTAACTGTAGGCGAATGAAAATGTACAATAAAATTTGGATTAACAGAGAACACCAAATTTGTTATTATAGAAGACAATCGATGAAATTTTTTAAGTTTTCAATTGATTCAGTCAACACGATTTAACTAATTTATAAATAAAACTATTACAATTAGTAAAACAAAATTGTCACCTTTATATTTATTATTAATATGATTAGGTCGACAATCAGGTAAACTACCATGATACAATCAATAACAAAACATCCCTACTTGCAAACTTAAAAAAAGTGAAAATGTGAAATAAACAAATAAAATAAAACCAAATTACACATTTAACTAATGGAAAGTGGATCAATAATGCAATACCAGGACATGGTACTCGACAAGAGCATCACCGGAGGTATTATTATACCAAACATTTTCTAGGGTAGCGACACCGCGCGCCAGCCGGAAAACACCAGAGCCACCAACTATCGGTAGTTCCCGATTCCGATTATTGAACTGATTGTACCCACTTACAGCTAGCATACTACCATTATACTTTCCCTCTGTGAACACAATATTGAAGGTCATGTGTAGCCCTAGTTCTTGCAGTGAAGAAGACCCAAAGAGACCACTGGCTCGACCCACAACCTTTGAATCGGGTTCGGGTCCTTCTGTTAATAAGTCATCCATGGCGGCGATTAGGCCGAAATAGGTGGGTGACTGGGTGGTGGCGTTGGTCATAGCCACAGGAATATTTGTCGGATTCCGGCCACTTACAATATCATGCAGGTAGAAGTGAAACTCTGTGAGCTTTTCTTTTGCATTAGAATGCTTCTTGAACCATTTTCTTACTGCTTTTGGGCCTTGAGAAACTCCATTGCCATTAGCAAATACTAATATTGAACACAGGATTAAAATTATGTAATGTTTCTCCATCTTTCTCTCTACAGAAAATGGTGGTGACTATCAATTACAAAGACACGGATATATACACACATATATGGTTGCCAACATTTGGAATTAGTGTCAGAAACAATTTTTAACTTTTCAAAGATTCTGTCAAATCGACCCTGAGTCCCGACACGTTGGTATGATGTATTAAAAATCGATATTTTGGACATTAGTATCAATGATTTATTTTTTCTATAAGATTTAGCAGCCTTTGCTACGTACTAATATAGGGCGCTAAATTCTTGCTTGGCGTTAGTAGCATTTATTTTAGGCATTTTGAACTATTTTATCTAAAAATTTAAGACATTAAAAATAGGACATAAGGACATATTTATTCGTCTAAATTGTTAGTCTCTATTTTCGAAGAATATGTAATCGGCTTAGTTTGTAAATATATAGAAATGATTGCAGGATATGTGGATAACATTTGTGAGTTTTGAAATTTGACTATGTATAAATTATTTATAAATTTTGCCAAATGGCATTCAAACACGTCCTTTTACGTGTAATTTTCATTCATTATTTAATCCATGCGCTATTATTATGCGGGGGCTCGAGATTTAATTCTCGATTTAACATATTAGAGTCAATGATCACTTCATGTTATGCTCAGAGTATACATGCTAATGTACGAATTGATATTAAGCCCTAGATGGGGTGTTGGAATTCTTTTTCTTGAACTCGCAAATATGCTTCGTAATGTAAAGCTAAAATAAAATAGTTATGCACATGGCTTATCACATGTATATATCATTATGTCTTCTCACTTGGAATTTTAATTTGTGGGAGAAAGTTGCAATGGAGGTCTCAAACTATTTGTGCTAACAATAATTAAACTTTATTTATCGATATCTAAAACCTTTTGCACTGGGAATGTCATTGCAATTATATCATGCAAAGGACAAATAATAAGTAGATATATTGGTCTGCATCCAATATGATCCAATCAATACCTTGAACAAATAATAGATAGATGTAGCACAATAAATCAGTTAACCACGATGCACTCCAATACATATGAATAATGATAGTTGGTCAGGGTCAGTGACAATGACAGAGGTAACAGGGTGGTGTGGCAGACAGTGATTGGGTGTCTTTTTTTTTTTTTTTTTTTTTTTTTTAACTGTCCAATCATATATTGACATGTGTCTTTTCTGTTACTGAACCTATCATTGTAGCAAGATTGTATTTGATATATGAGTGGTGATTATGCTAATTTATTAGAATTATTTCGAACATCAAAATTTGCTGGGTAGAAGTTAAGTACTGCTCGTTCTCGGGCTCTAGTAAATCAACTTCTTTGGGAAATAAAATTGCAGAAGAGGTTACGTGCTGGTTCGGTCAACATTGAAAAGGGTAACTGAAACAAAGATGGCGCAAAAGGGAGATGCACTGAGAGATCGTAGTGTAGAATATACGAGTTAGGGATACATAAAATAATTGGTTTCTTTACAGTTTTATCTTATTCTGATAAGAAAAAGCTCTTGGTCAGTTCAGTAGTGTGTGTTTACGAAATTTAAATTTTGTTTAATTACTTTGTAATTTAGTTGGGTGAAGGGAAAATTGTATATTCATCCCACATTTGTATTTTTGTTTCTTTTTATATAAAAAGCAATCGACCTCCCCGGTTATTTTATTAAATTTCTTAGCACCAACATTGCACTTTTTTTTTTTTTTTTTTTTTTTTTTTTTTTTTTTTTTTTCTTTTTTTTTTTTTTTTTTTTTTTCTTTTTTTTTTTTAAATTTTTTTCCCCCAACTTTTCTTTTTTTTTTTTTTTTTTTTTTTTTTAATTCTTTCATTTGACCGTCTTTAATTGTTCGATTTCAGTCACTTATTTTTTAAAATTTTTTTGGGACCCAAGTTTGGCGAATACATGGACTAGTCCTAACCCTAATGATAAATTCAGTAATTAAAACCTGACCAAAAATATCACGCAGTAAGAAAAATTGAGAACTAAAATTTAAAACAAAATGCTTAAATTTCTTGCGATAAATTATAAGAAAATGCATTACAATTGCTTCAACAAATATAAGGAATATGCAAATTCAAAAAGGCTACATCACCTAACACCGGCTTTCCAACTCTCAGACCATAGCAGCATATGCAGCATGAACTGTATATTTCAAAACACCATAATTAGAAACTCCTATTAATAAAGTTGACCTTTTAGAATGGAATATCAATTATTAACATGGTATCAGAGTCCACTAATTTTCAACAAGTGATTCGATCCAATTAAAACTCAATAAATGAGTATACAAATTTCAAAATTGGTCTACTCAAATGAGCCACCATCTTGCGGGGGCATATTAAGTGATAAAATTTCACATCGAATACAGATAAAAATATAGACCAACTTATAAGGTTCTGGACTATTCCTCTTAATAAGTTGACATTTTAAGATAAAACTCCACGTCTTAGCACAAAAAACTACAGAATTACATAAAGAAACACGAAATCAAGAATTGCATGAATATATTTATCGTTAAAGAGATAATAAATTTGCAACTTGAGATTTATGTAATGTCGACCCTTCTAGGCCAACGTGACCCTTCTAAGGGGTTAATTTCGGTTCGACATTCGTACACATGGTTACGACTTCATAAAGTACGGTCATATATAAATTGGTCTTTGCCTTGTTTACTTTGCTATGTGGGATAAACATTAATAGTTTTCCCTCCAACACATAAATATCTTTCAATGGGTCTACTAAACTCCAATTTCTTATTTATCCAAACATAATTTTTGCCTAGTAAATATATGATTTCAATGTTCTTACAATATAAATAAACTTTGATCTTACAAAACAAAGGAGGGGATCCTGCTGAAAAATATGCCAAAATCGCCTCATATTGAGCACTATATTCCAATTAAAGCATTTGAAATAATTTGTCCCAAGTAGGATAACTTTTTACCTCCAAATAATGGTCATCAATATGTATATTCTATAAGGATTTTTAATTCATTGATGGGCTTATATGTGTGAATAATTGTGTGTTAAATTAAAGGCTATCAAATTCAGTTAAACCCAATTAAAGTGATCTAATAAAGTTTCGATTTTGGGCTTTAATGTATCCAATTAAAGTGTGAGTTTACATATGTGTAGAGACCGAGTCCAACTCCTAATTCTATGATGGGCGGAATTAGGTCAAAGGGCATCACTATATAAATATGGTTATGGTCCCCAGATCACACGTACGTATTATTTATTATCTACTGCATCCCATCACAGAGAGAAAAAGGAGACTGCGTGTAGATTTGGAAGACTATACCGCGAAATTCATTATTGCATTAACCATGTTTGATTCAGGTACGCTTCCGCTATAGTTCTTCAATTTCTTGATGATTTAACATGAAAGATCCAGTGATTTAAAGCAATAAATTATCTTACAAGTGGTATCAGAGCCTTTGCATGTTGAATCATTGAGAATCAAATAATTCATTTGGTTCTTGTGGAAATCGACTAACTTAGAATATTAAAAGATGTTTGTGCATGTGTTATTCATGGGGATATTGGTCGGCCCAAAGGAAGGTCAATATTTAGCCGAATACACGTAAACCAGTGGTGATAAACATGTGATGATTATTTGGTTTAATGTCTGATCAATAAATCGGTTCAAAGAAAGGTTTATTGATTGACACGTTGTTTTAATGTCAATGTTTGATCACTACGCCAAGAGTACTGTTTACAAGTTAATATTTCTGTCCAAAGACTGGATATTGATGTTGTGCTAGGTATCTTGTGATGGGCCCTACCACTATTTGAGATTATTATTATTTGCATATTAAAGATATTCATGTGAGCTATTCATAATAATCGTTCTCTAATTCAGTTTCAGGTTCTGCTGCTAATATCTCTGCTAGCATCAATTCAATTCCAATGCTAAATGGCACAAACTTTAGGGTATGGGAATAGAACGTGATGATTGTTCTCGAAGTCATGGACCTAGACATTGCTTTAGGGTGGATCAACCTGCTGTACTTACTGATAAGAGTACCTCTGATGACAAGAGGGAGATGGAAAAGTGGGAACGATCGAATTGCATAAGCTTAATGGTCATGAAGCGTGCTATTCCAGAAGCATTTCGGGCCACTATGTCCGATAAGGTGACTACGGCTAAGAGTTTCCTTGAGAATCTTGAGAAGAGGTTTATCCAGAATGAAAAGGCTGAAACAAGTACACTTTTGGCGAACCTTGTCTCAATGAGATATAAAGGGAAATGAAACATTTGGGAGTACATTATGGAAATGTTTCATATTGCTTCAAAACTAAAGGCCCTCAAGTTAGATTTATCTAAAAACTTGTTGGTGCACTTGGTTCTGATATCCCTTCCGGCACATTTTAATCAATTCAAGGTGAGCTACAACTGTCAAAAGGACTCATGGTCCCTTAATGAGCTCATCTCACACTGTGTCCAGGAAGAGGAGAGATTAAAGCATGAAAAGACAGAAAATGCTCATTTGGCTACCACCTCTAAAGACAAAAGGAACAAGAAAATGAAGATTAATAAGGAAGCTGCAGGTACGACATCGCAAAAGAAGCAACATAAGGAACCAACTGAAGGTAGTTGTTTCTTCTATGGAGCTGCAGGTTATAAGAAGAAGAATTGCACCAATTACTACGCATGGTGTGTAAAGAAATGTATTCTTCTTCATTTGGTTTGTTCTGAGGTTAATTTAACTTCGGTACCTAGACATACATGGTGAATAGATTCTGGTGCAACAACTCACATCAGTATGTCTATGCAGGGTTGTTTGAGTTGCCGAAAACCAAGTGACGGTGAAAGATACATCTATGCTGGAGACGACAAGAAGGTGGAAGTAGAGGCAATAGGAAAATTTAGATTATTGTTAAAGACTGGATTTTATTTGGATCTTGTTGAGACATTTATTTTACCATCTTTAAGACAAAATTTGATTTCTATTTCTGTTTTGGATAAATTTGGTTATACTTGTTCATTTAGAAATGAAAAATTTAGTTTGTTTCATGATTCAAAATTGGTTGGTTTCAGTTCTTTATCAGGTTACGATAATATTTATTCAATTGATACAATTGCTTCTTATAATGAAACCTTGCATGTAAGTACTCGAGGTGTAAACTGAAAATTAACCGGAGAGAATTCTGCCTCGTTGTGGCACAAGAGATTAGGTCACATCTCCAAAAGGAGAATTGAGAGACTTGT